GAAGCCCCAAACCCATTTCTCTCCCCCTTCCTGCTCATTTTTGCAAAACCTAGGGTGCTCCCCCCATCCTCCTCAAACGGGCTTATCGATCCTTTTCTGCTTCCTTCTCCAATGCCCCCCCTCTGACTTACAGCCCCCCCACACAGAGGAAACAGCCTTTTGCTCCCACAGACCTCCATTTCCCTCGGGCAGCAACACAACAAAAGCCTGGACGGGGGGGGGAATTCCCCAGGCCCCTCACACCGCTGGAGCCCCCCACCAGAGAGTCTCAGAAGAGGGGGCTTATCGATCCTTTTCTGCTTCCTTCTCCAATGCCCCCCCTCTGACTTACAGCCCCCCCACACAGAGGAAACAGCCTTTTGCTCCCACAGACCTCCATTTCCCTCGGGCAGCAACACAACAAAAGCCTGGACGGGGGGGGGAATTCCCCAGGCCCCTCACACCGCTGGAGCCCCCCACCAGAGAGTCTCAGAAGAGGGGAGGGCAGCAACACACACACACACCGGAGGTTCGCTTTAAAAGAGGAGATTTGAGACAGATTTGCGGCGAGATAGAGCCCCCATGTCTAGGAGCAGTCTAGCTCGGAATGCCGGTTGCAGAAGCGAGGGGTAGAGGAGGACCAGTGGAGGATGGGTGCTGCCATCTTGTTGTCTCCCTCGGGAGCCTTCTTGAGGCGCCAGCCTCTTTAAATCAGGAACGGAGCCTCAGAAAATTATCTTTTGGGGGGGGCGCAACTCCCAGAATGCCCCTGCCTGAGGGGATACAGCTGTATAATTCGGGCCTTCCGTGCAAATCAATCCCATTAACAACACCGCTATTCTGAGGACAGACAACACCCTGAGCGCTTTCTCTCAATGTCATTTTCAACCTGTTTCTAATTTAGTTCCCACACAATAACTTTTTCTGAATGAGTTCTAACAATACAGGAACTTAATCGGTGGCACCCATTTCTTCAGCCCCAACACGAGTGGAAAACGCCAAACGCTTGAGGTCCGTTAAGCCGACGCGCCTGGAAAGTCCACGGAGTCCACACCAGTCACAAAAGTGGGTTAGGAAATAATTTTTAAAAGCTGGACAAAAGCCAGAGCAAATTATAGCATTAAAACTTAATGGAACAATCCTATCATATGAAAGCAATTGAGTTTAAATTAATTTAGAGGCACATCGGGAAAAAATTAAGAAGTACAGTAATCCATTTAGTCATTGTCGGTCCTAAAACAGCAGGGAGTGAAGGGGGGGAGGAATCCAGCAGTTGTTGGACAGCCCAGTGGCTTCTGAGATCTGCTTGTGATGCCGAAAGTTGGGAGTTCGATTCCCCCACTGGGCCTCCTTGTCAGAGGCGGGACTGGATGATCCTGAGGGCCCCCTTCCAGCCCTGCCACTTTTAAGATGATTACAGTATCATTATGCTAGCTCAAATCAGAATTAAGCATTGTGAGACATCCGAGAGGGGAGCCCCCACGCACAGCCTTCTCTTTTTGCTCCAAAACAAACAAACAAAAAAACGCATTAGGGCTTCTTTTCAGGGGATGTTTTTTTTTCATGTACAACCATTGACATTTATTCAAATACAGTCATGTCATCATCTTCTGGTTCCTGCACAAGGGTAGAGGACAGGGTTTCACTTAACTTGGGCTTATTTTGGGGGGGGGGTAGGGCTTATATTGCGAGCATCCTGAAAAATCCTACTAGGACTTATTTTCAGGTTAGGTCTTATTTTAGAGGAAACAGGGTATCTTACCAAGGCTAAACCGACACCCTCACAAAAAGAAAAGAAAAACAAACTAAGCCCTGTAATGAGTTAGTTCTTGAATATTGTAGGTGTAAATATAACTAGTTACTTTTCAAACACAGGGCAGAAAAATATGGAATTCCATTACCTTTTGAAAAGCAAACTTTCCGAAAGTCGGCTTGGCAATCTGGGGCTCGGCGATCTCAATGGCAAAGGGCAGCTTCCTTCACCCGGAGGCAAAATAACGCCTGAGAAAGATCACCGCCAGATTCTCGGTGCCGAGTTAAATCTCTCCGCTGGAATGATCTGAAAGCAAATATTATGGGCACCAAGACGTTTGACCTTTTCTCCACTGCGCAGGATGATGAACACCTTTGGATCGACTCAGGTGTTTTGTTTGTTTTTCCTTCAGTCTATGACCACTGGAATCCAGATGCCATAAAAATCAAGTTTTGTGCAATTTCTATCATAAAAGAAAGGTGGCCTTTAACTGCCTGGTACCGACGCACTGGAAAAACACACATCTGGCCACGCCTAATCCTATATCCCTCTCCCATGAGAAAACAGGAATCTTAAAGCCGGCGGATATAGTGGCAGGGCAACAGACTGGGATGCACGGGTACCGGGTTCAAATCTCCCCTCACCCACAGAATTTCAGTGGGAAAGGTGGCACTGGTAAAACTGTTCTATGAATATCTCGTATACACTATCAGGGTTGCCATGGACCACAGAGGGTGTGGTACAAAAATTAAACCAATACATTGGAAGCGACTTGCTGGCACACGGCGCATTAGATAGAGGTGGAATATGGAAGCTCTTCTTGGCGTATGCTCACCAGATTAAAGAAAACCTCAACAAAAACTAGAATTTCCACAGGGGTCACCAGGCTCAGCTGGTCGCACCTCAAGCAAGGCAGAGGCCGTCCTCAAAAGAGGCCCACAGCAGAACCACCAAGAGACCTGCGCTGCCCTTAAGAGGGCCAGCTTCATCCTAGCCCATGAAGCGTAGTGGGGGACCGTTCGCTCCCTCCTGCGTCGGGGGGGGAGGAGGGGAGAAGCTGACCGTTTGGTGACCACGCGCCCCCAACAACACAGCTGGCAACGTCTCCTGAAGCCCCCCCCCCACGCAGCGATCCTGGCCATTCTTGGAAAACGCCGGCCGCCCAGGTCAGAGCGACTGGCCACCAACACCAGCCGCTCTGCCGACCCTTCCCCAAACCAGCCATTCAGATGGCCCCCCTTCCCCCCCCCCCGGCGCGCCCGCCGCCCGGCCCCAGGACAGCG